ATACATATCTTTGGTTTTATTTTAGCTAAATGACTTTTCCATAACATTTGTCCATTAAGGGAAGTTGGTAGGTCATGTCTTAAGTGGCATTTGGCCGTGACATTTGCTTGACATTAACGTCTTTGTCCTGACATTAGGAATTCGTTCCCACCAGGGAAATGACATAAAATTACACTAATAATTGATGGTCAACTCAATGCTGGTTCACCACGATGACCTTTTTTTACCCCATTGTTAAATTTCCTAATGGCCAAATAAAAGTGTCTTGAATGCATGTTGGTTTAGACTCCAAAGATCATAAAGATATCAGTTTATTGCTATAGTTCACATGAGCTGTAGATAATTTGCCCACAAGTACAATCTATTATTTTTTCCTCTTAATAATTGCAAATGTTTGTGTGAGTTTGTGTCATAAAAGTCTATTATGTTCGTCTGTTTTTGGCATGTTTTCCTGCAACAGATGGCAGGTGTGGCTCATGTATGCCATTCAAGGCCGAGCCTCATTCAACAGCTAAATACAGATCTCATTAGTTCATTATTAAAACACGATTGATAAAAATTACTCCTCTTCAGGCTGTTGTTCATCCTGCTGTGTCCTCACAGTAGCTTGTTCTAACTGCATCAGTGCTCTACAGGTAAATAAGAGTGCTGTTCTATTTTTAGTGCAGCCCCCCCCACCCCCTCCCCAGACTTAATTTGCTACTGTGTTTTAGGAAATGAGCCCGCGGTGTGTGAACAATGTAACGACCCTCTTTTACTGTGAGCTGCATTTATGAGTCGACCCCCCCCCCCCCCCGCCGCCTGGTAGATGTTCGCTCCGTAATGCACACACATCTCGCACACACCAATATTACGCTTGATCCACTCTCCATCTGATGTGTCTGCTGCTAATTTAAAGAAAAAAACTTTCATGGTTACACAACAGCTGTAGATGATGGATCTTACATCACTGGTTTGCCATTTTTTCTATAACTGGCTGTAATATGCAATGTAATGATGTTTTCTGTGCAGCTATGGTGTAACGTGACATTAGGGAACATTTGGACTTTCTAAATTATCACAAGAACAATGAGCTTTTGATTAAACCAACGTTTTTGCCTTTGTTTTAGTTTTGCTACAGTCCTAATGGATTTAAGACACACACACGGTTAATTGATTTGAAATTGATTGTAGGACTCTGTGTATGATTGTTCCTGGGATGTTAAGGCCATCTCTTCAGGTGTAGCCTGTCAATTGCTTCATGACAGCTGGTGTAAGTTATTGGATTATGGAGGGAAAAAAACTCACCCAGGAAGAAAATTAACACAAAAACTTCAGGGTCGTTTGAACCAAATGTTTCAGGTACAAGTGCTACAAGCACACAATCTGATGTTTCCTGATGGATTCTGCTCACATAACAAAGTTTGTATGGGCCACACAAGGCACTAACACTCAGCCTGGAAACAAAGATTGACAGCCCTTTGGTGGCCCACATGGTTCACCAGAGGTGGTCCATGCATGGGCCAGCACCACACAAATGGCATACCATCTTGAAAACAGTGCCATCATTGCCAGACCTGGCCCACATTCAGTTGACAAGCCACTTGCCGTGCCAGCAGTCAGGCAGCAGTGCCATCTTGACACCAGATTTGTCCCAAACCTGTCTGCCATGTGGAGTTTTTTATTTTGCATAAAAAATATACCAAAGAGGTCAGCTATTGTAATGTCAATCGAATAAGTTGACATCATCGCTCATGAAGACAAAGGAAGGACCCAAACCCAGTATTTGAAGAACAAAGAATGGCTAGTGCCGACAAAAAAAAAAAAACAGCTATAAAAACTAAGAAAATACAAGACTTCATTCAACTAGGGATAACAAAGGATCTGGGTGTGAAAAAAGGGATTCTTGACTGCACAGTGGGTTGAAAAAGTATTCCTAATCTTCAACATAAAACTGTTTCAGCTACTTTAGGTTAGAACGGTGCTGCTTATGTGCAGCAATCCAACATAACAGACAGGCGTAGGCCAGAGCTGGTGTCAAGCTGGCACTGCTGGCAGACTGCTGGCATGGCAAGTGGTTTGTCAACATGTGGGCCAGGTAGCTGGCCCAGTTGTGTTTTGGTTTATGTGATGCTGGCCCATAAATAGATGTCCTATAGCAAACCATGTCTGGGCCACCAAAGGACCATCATTCTTTGCAATATTCGGGCTGAGCGTTGTTCATTGTGTTGGCCAGAACTGGACCAGACAAATTTTGCTATGTGGGATCTTTTGCTCCATCCATTTTTCCTTCAAATCTGACAAATTTTCCAGTTCCTGCTGATGAAAAAACATCCCCACAACATGATGCTGCCACCACCATGCTTCATTGCAATGCTGTTCTCAGAACAAAGAGATATTTTTCAACTTGACTACAGAGTCCTGGGAGCTTAAGGAATTGCAGTATCTTAGCTGTTATTCTGGACAGAGACCAGAATTCACTGGATTCACTTTTCCAGTTTGGTACCAACCTGCATAGCAGACAGGTGTGGGTCAGATTTGATGTCAAGCTGGCACTGCTGGCTGACTGCTGGCATGGCAAGTTATTTGTAAACCAGATGTGGGCCAGGCACTGTTTTTAAGATGGCAAGCCACAACTAACATGTTTGTGGTTTAGGTTAATGTGGCCCAAATCTGTCAATGCCACAACTGGCCTAGTTATGTTGTGATTTATGTAACCCAATCTTGTCAGTGCCACAACTGGCCCGGTTGTGTTTGGTTTGTGTAGTGCTGGCCCATGCGTGAACCACCTTGAAAATCACATCAGGGCCTCCAAATGGCCGTCATTTTTTGTGGTACCTGGGTGTTAGTTCATTGTGGGGTCATAACTGGACCAGACAAATTTTGTTGTGCAGAGGACCACAGGCACCACTGAGGCCTTGTTTCTCCATGTTTTTATTTCCTCTTTCAGCTCTTTATCTCTCCAGCTTCCTAATCATGATGTTACAGTCACTTGGGATTCTAACATCTATCATCAAAGGCTTTTATTCTCCAGCTTGTCAACCACTACAATGGCCGATTTGTTAGCCATCAACTTTTTGTCATTCTGGACCTTGAAGTCCCACATTGTCTTAGCCCTGTCATTCTCCACCACCCTTGGAGACTCAATTTGGTTCCAAATTTCCAGACACAGAGATAAAAAACATTTTGTTGTCGCCTTTGGGAGCAATGAGTTTTCTCCTTGCCTTAGGCAGAGGTTATAAACCATTAAAGTGATGAAAGAATCAATGCATAAATAAGAAAATGAAACATTTTATTTCATTTTCACCCCAAATTACTTTGCACTAATTAAAAATCAGAGTGTGGAGTACTAAATGGTCATTGCTCTTCTGTGCTTGATGTTGGCCTAAAGTGCGTCTTGATTAATATCTGGTGAAATATCATTAGGGAGATTAACAATGGGGCTATATTTAGGAGGTTAAATAATTGATGCTAAAAATGATAACAGAATGAAGAAGAACAGATGAGCAAACTATAAATCATCCTTTATAAGATGCTTTATGTGAAATGTAAGCGCATGTGTTCGACAGAGACTGTCCAAAATTAGACATCAACATTCAAGACAGTGTTTTCTTTTTCACATGAACTCATAAAGCTTGTAAATGTATCTCACAGTGAACATTGGAGTGAGATCCTTACCTTTTTTATCATATGTAGGAGCGTTTACTGCTGTCCTTACTGCCTGCTCACATAGCCCGAGTGATGAAAGCTGAGATCATCCAGAGGCTGCAGGGACCCAACTTCGGTCGAACCGAGAGCACCAATAACTTTCACAACCTCTATGTGCAGCGGCACACCAACGTCAGGTAGAGTTCTCTTTTTTATTTCTTATCTGTGCCTTTAGATAATGAAGGTTATTTTCTGCTCTCATCTTCAGGCTTGATTGCTCCTCTGCCATCTTGTCCTCACCCTCATCACGGCCATTTTTCTCATCTTCCTTTGTCCTGCCCTCTTTACCTGCTCTTAAATTTCAATTTTGCCTCTGTTTCAGCTTCGTCCCCTTCGTTCCTCGCCATCATCTCCAGTGTATTTTTTTTCCATCCCCATGGTGAAAATCAATTGAGATTTAACCCACCTCTATTTGCCTCTGAGGTCACCGTGCCAAATAAAATGCAGCCTTTGTCCTCAGCTTTCAATGACACCCTCCTCTGAACCGTGGAGGTCTACAGTAGCGGTGCAGAGTAAGCAACAAAAATCCTGGCTCACCATGAGGGTCCTACCATTCAGGGTTCACAAAAAAAAGTTTTTATTCTGTAGCTACAGACATCATGGCTGACCCAAACTGGCCTCAGCTGCGTGTGCGGCTGAATGTGGAGTGCCCACTTGTTGCTGTCTTTTATTCTCCCACTAATAAGAAAAACTCACAAGGTCGGGCTCACAGGGAGGAGAGAGGAGGCCGGATGTTCCAGGAATCTAAAAAATAGTCCACGTAGGTTTGATAGTGAGGGTTAGTGTGTCCAGCATGAGTGTCCAACATGCCTCCAGTTGTCAGGACCTGTTTTTTATTATTATTCTCATTATTATTAGGTTGAATTATGTTTTCATTTATTCAATCCAAGTGCACCTTTCTGCATTGCTCTCTCATTACTTTCTGCTCCTCCACCTCACTTGTTCCTCATTCCCAGTTAGCCACAGCTGCAGACACTCTTCACATTAGCTTCAGGCTATTTATGTGGTCTTCATCGTTTGTCCTCCAGTTAGCCTGCTGCCACAACAGAATTTTAGTTTTTGTTTCTCCTAGTGGGTCAAAACCTCCTACAGTAATTACTGAGTCTTTCAGGTCTTTTCTTTGGACACAAATTTTATCTGGAAAAAGAATACTAACCTGTCTTTTTTCTACTTTAAAAGCAAATCAATGTCCTTAGAGTTATAAGATAGTTTGTGATATTGCTCAGCTGTGTTTCATTATTCACCATGAAAAAAAAACTGATTTTGCGACACCACTTTTTAAAAAAATATTGTAGAATAATTTTTTATTCTTAAACAGCATAAAAAACTAAACTATAAATAAATCTAGCATCCTGGTTTTTAGCAATTTTTACATAAAATCCTATACATATCATAACGTTGCTATAACGGATTTTATTTTAAAAATATAGTAATAAATTTAGATTTAATCTTTTTAATTTTAAAGGTGGACAAAATCAACCAAAAACTATTAGTAAAAATAGACCTACATTATATTTAGAATTTGCATGTAATAAATTACAAAGGACTGCAGCAAATCTCATAGTGAAAGTGTTTTATTTAATCATATAAACACGATGTTGAGCTACAAGTTAGAATCAAAAGATTTGTTTTGTATTTTTACATGTACCATTGAACAGAGCTTAATTCTTGCTTTTTATATGCTCACACACATTTACAGATGAAAATACAATTGGTACTTATTTTTACATTGTGTTGGATTTACTTGGTTTTGTCTCCATATATACATCTATTTGTTGACTTTCTCTTGTCCGGGCCATAACTTCCTGTTTGCTCATGAAAACTGAATGAAACTTTCATACAAACTGCATACATCATTACTAGACAAAGTGTGGTGTACACTTTTTATCAGCCCAGCTCTGAGGTCAGGGTCACAACTCAAAGTTACGGGTCAAACAAGGTCTTTGCTTGTCCAGGTCATTGCTCCAGAATCGTTTATTGTAAGATGTATAATGAAAGTATGTAAAGTATTGTTCTTTGTCTCTGCAGCATTCTGTATGCAGACATTGTGGGCTTCACCAGGTTGGCCAGTGACTGCTCTCCAGGAGAACTCGTTCACATGCTGAATGAACTTTTTGGCAAATTTGACCAAATTGCAAAGGTAACCAAACCTTTTAATTATTGTATAAAACACATCTGTTTCAAAGTGTTAATTGAAGTTGGTCATTTATGACATCAAAATCCAAGTGGTATTGTTTAGGCTCTCTCTTTTGTGTTGTATAAAACAAATAAACTTTTCACTTCATTACCAAAATTCAACTTCTTCAATAAGAATGGGAACTTGATGGAGAAAAGACCATACATCAGACTATGAAGCTAATTTTCAAGATCCCAAATAACAAGCGCTAAATTGCTGAACTAAAAAATTTCTTTGTTTTTAGTGGGCGAGTTGCAAGAAACTTTATGAAGACTGCTTGCTCAAATGACATGCAAAGGTTGTGCAGATCGCCCTACTGAAATGCGGATTTTGCGTTTGTTGGTGCAGGAGGCAAATGGTCTCATTTTACCACAAATAGTTCAAAGAAAAATGAAATCTCATTAATTGTGAGTATTGTTAGCATAGAAGTATTGTCATACAGGCTGCATTTGGAGGTAGATCCAGAAAGAAAAAGCTTCTCCTCAGAAGACTGCTCTGCAAGACTGAAAGCATCCCCAAACTTGAAAAACTTGAATTCCAGGCACGTCAATAAATTAACATGAAAAATGACGGCATCTGAGGTGGACAGCAGCCCAATTTTGCTCCTGCCTTTCGAATGTGTTAACTTTAGAAGGCAAACCAGCACCTGCAACCAGTTTCAGCTTTGATAAATCACATTGTGGTGCTAAATGTTTATATTTGTATTTCCTCCTCCCAATGTTTTGCACATCCTGCACATAAATTTGCACATAAATCATCTTTATTCTGTGTATTCATGAATGCAAACATGCTAATTGGATTGTGTCTCCTACATTGTTCATTTGTCAGACACAATCTTCAGCACACGGTTAATAAATCAGCTTTGTGCTATCAAGTTAGAGCTTCTTTTTACACGTAAACCTGTGATAAATCAGCCCCTATATCACACACCAAATACACCCCTTCTTCTTGTCTCAGTTTATGATTTTATAAGCTTGAGCTCCATGAGGTTATTTAGATTTGATTTGGGTTAAATGAACCATTGATGACCTTGTAAACCAGTGGTCCCCAAACTATGGATCCGGCCCTCCTCCCCGTTTGGTCTGGCCCCCAGAACAATACCAGAGAGCATTTAGTTTTTTTTTTTTTTAATATATATGTATTTATATTTGATTATAAAGTTGGAATTTTGCAATAAAATGTTCCTTAGTTATGAACTATTTTCATTATTAACTATTATTAGTTAGTAACRATTTCATACATACACGCATATAACGTGACATTCTGTTCCACCCTTCTGCGGTCTGTGCCCCCATCTGGCAACCCCCAGAAAAAAATCCTAAACCCGCCCCTCTCAAAGAGAGAACGGAATAATGGCGAAAAGATTGGGTAAGAGAAAAATTGATTCAGAATGCAGGGCATTTAAGTTGCAGTGGACAAACGATTATTTTTTTGTTCATCTGTAAAGAGGCGATGGCGGTATTCAAAGAATGCGGCGACACCATGAATCCCGTCACAAAGACAAGTATGATAGCTTGCAAGGCCAAATGTGAGCAAACAAACTCTCAAAGCTAAAAAGTGGACTGTTAGCTCAGCAGAATACATACTGTGAAGAACCCAGAGAGGGTTATTTGATTGTGCTTTCTGGAAAACAATAAATTTTTACATTTAGGCACTCCTGCAATAGTCACACTTTTTCTTTTACAAACTGACTCCGGCCCCCCACCAGGGAAGGGAAAAGTTATGTGGCCCTTACAGGAAAAAGTTTGGGGACCCCTGTTGTAAACCATGAAAAACGGGAATCAACAACTGTTTAATTTCCAAAAGCCCCCATGGATCAAACCAATAAATCCCCTAATCTGCCGGTAAGCTGTTTTAATTTAGAATTAATGGAATAAATAATGGATGTGTCAGACTTAAAACAATTGGTCTTGGTTCACAACCAATTCTATTAGCTAATGTTATCTGAAGTCGAAAGCATTTTATTAATTCATTCATCTGGTCTCTGTACCTGATTCTTGATGTGTGTGAGTGGGTGTGTGTGTACATGTTTTTGTTACCTGGTGGGGATGATTTTTGACCATTTTTCTGGTACATGGCCTTGCGAGGACCTGCTGTTCCTTATGGGGAGAAAAGCCTGGTTCCAATTTAGCAAGTCTGTGGTCGATTCAACAACTAATTGAGTCTGAGCATTGCACGGTCTGACCTTAGGGTGAATTTGCAGGAATGCCCAGATTACATTTAGTTTTCCACTTCTGAATTGATAATTTTCCACTATAAAATGATGGACCTTTAACAACCTTTAACTGGTGGTGTCCCTGTACTGATACCAGCATTTTTGCGAGTACTCATACTCGTACAAACCTCCAGATACCCGGAACGATTCCAGTATTGATACTGATATAAAAACTCTGTTCAATGTGGAAAGGAAAAAGTGAAAAAATTGTCAGTTTCAATGTTAAAATAATTAAACAAGTTGAAAGAAAAATTTTTAATTTTGCAACAGTAAATGATGTATATTAGATTTGATCCAGAGAAACAGGCTAGACCTATAAGGAAGTAGAGCCACATTGTTGTAAATGAAATAAATTAGTTTTTAAAGTCATTGGGCCTCATGCAAGAACATGTTTGTATTCTTCTCCTAAACTTCTCTTACTTTTGTTCGTACAAAGGGTTCGTACGAACATGTCACGTCAGATTCAACAAACTCTTCTATCTTCTGGAAACGTGCGTAAATGAGCTGCATAAATTCCACCTGTTCTATCCAGCTGCTCGTGCACGAGGAGAGGAGATTAGCATAATAACCACCCCAAAAACACCATATAAGGCTATGTTTCCTGCCTCAGATACAAGGAAGTGTTCATTCATTCATGAAAATTACAGCGAAATCTAAAAAGAACTTTACGAGTTCAGAGATTGAAGTCCTGCTGTCAGAGATCCAGAAAAGAAAATCTGTCATTTTTAGCAGGTCAGCTGTGGGATAAAAAAGAGCTGCTAAATGTATAAACAACTGTGTTAAATCATTTTCATTTATTCAGAAGCCGCAGCGCTGCGCATCGTCACCCCCTCCCCCCACCCCCCACCAGCGCGCTGCGC